AAACCTTACAGAAACGGGTATAGCTCCTTTAATATTTATCATCACATATTTGTTACTAGTGAGACCAAGTAAGTAGTAAGTAATCTTTATTTATATACCGCCTTTTCACTGCAGATCTGAGTCTCAAAGCGGTTTACAATTGTTATTTTTGGGCATTTGTCTCTCACTCCACACAGAGATGGGAGCGGGGTCGCCAGTACAGGAGGCACATGCCAGACCTATTGTACATATTTTTAGTGGTAGGGGAAACCGGAGTACCCGGAGGAAGACAGACACGGGGAGAACATGCAAACTCCACTCAGAAAGGCCCTGGTCCGACTGGGATTTGAACCCAGGACCTTCTTGCTGAGAGGCGAGAGTGCTGTCCACTCAGCCACCGTGCCGCTCAAGTGCATTTACAATAACAAATTATGATAATGTATTATACTGAAATAAGTATGTTATTTGATTTGTTCATTTCTAAATCCTTGGGCGAGCTACCTGAAGGGGGTGGAGAGCTACTGGTGGCTCCAAAGCTACAGGTTGGAGACCCCTGCTGCAGAGTGAGACTGTAGAGTCCTGTAGAGACCCGAGCTGCAGGACGTCTCCCGGTGTCACCATTGTTTCGAATTGTAATATATTTTTAGACGATCCAGTTGTGTATCAATATTTTGTTGGTAAAATCTGAAATGAAAATGTTTTTTGTTTTTTTTTATTAGCCAGAAAAAATGTGTGATATAAACACGGAGCGGTGCCAGGATCACGGCAAATCAAAACAAACAGATCGTTTGTAGTGTAATTGAAAACCAGCTAATTTCTAACACAATACTCTGAAGAAAAGGTTTCCACCAAATACTCATGCTCACGCACAATACTCACGCACAATACTCACGTACAATACTCACGCACAATACTCACGTACAATACTCACGCACAATACTCATGCACAATACTCACGCACAATACTCACGCACAATACTCACGCACAATACTCACGTACAATACTCACGTACAAAACTCATGTACAATACTCACGCACAATACTCATGCAAAATACTCACGCACAATACTCAAGTACAATACTCATGTACAATACTCACGCACAATACTCATGCACAATACTCACGCACAATACTCAGGTTCAATACTCATGTACAATACTCATGTACAATACTCACGCACAATACTCATGCACAATACTCACGCACAATACTCATGTACAATACTCACGTACAAAATCACGCACAATACTCATGCACAATACTCACGCACAATACTCAGGTACAATACTCAGGTACAATACTCAGGTACAATACTCACGCACAATACTCACGTACAATACTCACGCACAATACTCACGCACAATACTCACGCACAATACTCAGGTACAATACTCAGGTACAATACTCACGTACAGTACTCATGTACAATACTCACGCACAATACTCACGAACAATACTCAGGTACAATACTCAGGTACAATACTCAGGTACAATACTCACGCACAATACTCACGCACAATACTCACGTACAATACTCACGCACAATACTCACGTACAATACTCACGTACAATACTCACGCACAATACTCACGTACAATACTCACGTACAATACTCACGTACAATACTCACGCACAATACTCACGCACAATACTCAGGTACAATACTCAGGTACAATACTCAGGTACAATACTCACGCACAATACTCACGTACAATACTCACGCACAATACTCATGTACAATACAAGACAGTCTCAGTTGAATTCCATTCCATTTAATTTTTGTGAAGCCCTAAATATAAAACATTTTCTGAATTTATTTTGTCCCTGATACAGTTCCATTCCAGACAATGCATTATTTCTATTGACTGTAAATATCAACAGACTAATAGTCACACCATGGATCTATAATAATATCTGGATAGAGTATTACTAGCTTATGACTGTCCCACCCATGGCCACAGGGGGCGCTGTGGCAATGCAGACTAAATTCACGAGGGCTACCCAGAAAAAAGGCCCATAGAACTCAATATAAATGAAAACATTTCAACCTCAGCTGACAGAGAACCTGACAGAGAACCTACAGCTTTAATAAAGATCGGATTTTGTGGGGATTTTAGTGTCCTTTGTCATCATGAACTGTTTTTCTTCTTAAATCCTTCAGTTTTATTTAAATCCACACTTTACTGCCACAAACTCTGCTCCTTTCCTTCCCGCTCTGCGCTGATCAGCAGCTCTGATTGGTCAAAGCCATAGATTGTAAATATCAACGGACGAAGTCACGCCTATCTCCGCCGTTCAAAGAAATGGGTCAAAAATTGGGCTTTCAGGGAGCGTTTCAAAATGGCTGGAAAATGGCAAAAAACGCATCTGTGCATGCGTCAGCTGCACGAGCCCCATTCATTTAAACGAGAGACTTCAAAAATTCACAGCGACTAAACTAGACTGGTCCAAAACACTCCCCTCGGAGTGTGGAACGGAGCTTTGGTCCAAGAGCCAACTTTTGGTCCATCCTGTAAAGACATTTTAGAGCGGTCTGCCAATGCTATATGTTAGCATTGGCTAATTCTTATTCCGGGTCCACCCCCATCGGCCCGGGGTGGTATTGCAGCATGTCAGCGCACGTCATTTTGGCCACTTTTGAGCCGGGATCAGTGGGGGGTAGAACTGTGACAAATAAAACACACACCTCGTCATGAGTGAAGCTGAAATTCACCTGAGATTGTTCAATTTAGGAAAGATTTACAGGAAAATAAAGATAAAGGAATGTATTAAATTTTGGTTTTGAACTAGTTCAACAGTTTTGTTTGTGACGACTAAAGCAATGAAATGAGGACGATTAGTTTTATAGTGAAAGACTATTCAGCTTCATAAGTATGTTTCATTCTGACTGACAGGACAGAAGCAAATAATAATGTTAAAAACAGCAGCGAGTTTGTAAAGTTTCTCTGCCGAGGCCCTGTTTATACTGAGACGCTGCGCAGACGTTTCCAGGCTATTAACAGAAACGACCAGGCTCCTAATGCAAATTTCTCTGCGTTCACATGAGGTTGAAAAACGATGTAGTTCTAGCGCCCGGCCAGTATTGGGCAGATAAACTTTACAACACGACCCCGACCCCCAGCCCCGTGCCCAGCCCCCCTCTCGGCAGTGTACTCCCTTCCTGTGCCAGACCCTCAGAAAGTACCAACCATGGATGTATTATATTAACTGGATAGGGTATTACTAGCTTGTAGCTGAATAACTCATGTGCTCAGGGGATTCTCGCGGTACTGCAGACTGAACCAGACTAAATTCACGTGGGCTACCCAGAAATGTTCCCCATAGAACTCAATGCAAATTAAAACAGCTCAACCTCAGCTGACAGAGAACCTACAGCTTTAATAAAGATAGTATTTTGTGGGGATTTTAGTGTCCCTTGTCATCCTGAACTTTTTTTCTTCTTAAATCCTTCGGTTTTGTTTAAATCCACACTTTAGTGCCACAAACTCTGCTCGTCTGGCTCTCGCTCTAACTCCCGCTCTGATGAACTGCTCTGATTGGTCAGAGCGCGGCCGAGCCCCTCTGTGCACGTGCGTGAGACCCGGTGTGAGACCCACACACGCGTGTTTGGCGCAACGCATTATTGGAGATCATCCACTGCGCAGAACCGGGAGGACCAGACGATGCCCAAATACAGGCGAGTTTCCCAAGTTTCCCGAGTTTCAGGCAACTTCCGCTAATCTTTCAGCCCCCATGCCGTCACAAAGCGCCACTGAGCACAACCATTCATTTGAATAGGGCGCCATCTTGAATCGCCGGGGCTTGGTACCAACATCATTCTGCATTTTAACAGCAGCTGTGAAAATGGGAACTGAACCTAGAGCTTCGCGTGGTCTCGTTTGGACGAACGAAGGAGTAGAATGATCCTCTGTGCCGCGCTGGAAGCCCACAAAGCTAGTTAGTGCGACCGCCGCCATTGTTGTTTATGTTTGTTCTCCGCTACTGCGCATGTCCAAATTTACGTGCGGGGAGCAGCGCGGAGGTGGGGGTCAGAGCAGAGGGGAATTTCACACCTTTTCCCCTCTCGCGGGTGTGAAAGAGCCCCCGCTGTGCAGCGTTTCAGTTGTCCCACTCTGCAGGCTGGATCTGAACACTTACGTTTTCACCCCCCTGGAACACAGTCTCCGTATGAACGGTTGGTAGAAACCGACATCCAACTATACCGTTTTACTGCCACATTGTCTCCGTGTAAACTCAGCCTGAGATCAGACCCAGCAGCGGACGGACTGACGCATGACTGCAAATATGCTGTGAAATCCTGACCTCCTCATGTTTCATAATGAGCCCTGAGCTCTTTGATGCCTCTCTGTTTCCTCCTCCTGAATATCAAGTCGTCATTAGGAAACTGTCAGCAGGAGAAATCAGGGAAATCAGGCCGAGACCGGGGCTCAAGAGCTTCTTCTGCAGCTGAAGGGGAGAAATGTAATCACAGTGTAGTAGCGCGGTGTGGCCAGCAGAGGGCGCGCTCGCTCTGTCTGTTGATATGACATGTATACGGTCTGCAACAGGAGAAATACCAGACTATAATATAATATAATTCAATATAGCAGTGGTTTGTGTAGAGTCTTTGACTTGATTTGATCGTGGATTTTTGGTAATTGTACGTAAAAATGTTGACGTGTGTATGAACTGTTCTTTACAATGTCCTTGTCTATAAGTTAAGTATGAGTTATAGTAAGATTCAGCCTGTATCTGTCCCACTGAGTGGAGGTGGTCCTGGCATGGCCCACCATGGGGAGACCAGGAGGAGACCAGGGGAGGACCCAGGACAGTGTGGAGGGGCTGTGTGTCAGGATTCCCCCAGATGAGCTGGAGGAACTGTGTGTGTGGAGGAGGAAGTCTGGACGTCCCTGAAACTCGGCTCTGGATAAAAATTGATGAATTGGATTAGAAAGAGCTCTCAGGCAAGATACTGAAGTGGAAATGATCAATGGCTGCAAACAATCAGAAACTATTTTGTAAAAATGTGAATACTGTAATTCAGGGGTCACCAACCTGTAGCTCCCCACCTCCCACCAGTAGCTCCCCATCTCCCACCTGTAGCTCCCCACCTCCCACCAGTAGCTCCCCATCTCCCACCTGTAGCTCCCCACCTCCCACCTGTAGCTCCCCACCTCCCATCAGTAGCTCCCCACCTCCCATCAGTAGCTCCCCACCTCCCACCAGTAGCTCCCCATCTCCCACCTGTAGCTCCCCACCTCCCACCAGTAGCTCCCCACCTCCCACCAGTAGCTCCCCACCTCCCACCAGTAGCTCCCCATCTCCCACCTGTAGCTCCCCACCTCCCATCTGTAGCTCCCCACCTGCCACCAGTAGCTCCCTCTCACCTGTAGCTCCCCACCTGCCACCAGTAGCTCCCTCCCACCTGTAGCTCCTGACCTCTCACCTGTAGCTCCCCACCTCCCACCTGTAGCTCCTCACCTCTCACCTGTAGCTCCCCACCTCCCACCTGTAGCTCCTCACCTCTCACCTGTAGCTCCTCACCTCCCACCTGTAGCTCGCCAAAGGTTTCAGAAATGAACCACTCAAATAACGTACTCAATATTTCAGATTGTATAATTCCTTATCATGATGTGTATTTGTAAATACACTTACTTTGAACAGTAGTGACAATATAATCATCTCTCTCTCTCCCTCCTCTCTCCCCCTCTCTCTCTCTCTCTCTCCCTCCTCTCTCCCCCTCTCTCTCTCTCTCTCCCCTCCTCTCTCCCCCTCTCTCTCTCCTCTCCCTCCTCTCCCTCCCCTCTCTCTCCCCCTCTCTCTCTCTCCTCTCCCTCCCCTCTCTCTCCCCCCCCTCTCTCCCCCTCTCTCTCTCTCCTCTCCCTCCCCTCTCTCTCCCCCCTCTCTCCCCCTCTCTCTCTCCTCTCCCTGCTCTCCCTCCCCTCTCTCTCCCCTCTCTCTCCCCCTCTCTCCCCCTCTCTCTCTCTCTCTCTCCCTCCTCTCCCTCCCCTCTCTTTCCCCCCTCTCTCCCCCTCTCTCTCTCCTCTCCCTCCTCTCCCTCCCCTCTCTCTCCCCTCTCTCCTCCACTCTCTCTCTCCACTCTCTACCCCCATTTCTCTCTTCACTCTCTTCTCTCTCTCCTCTCTCGCTCCTCTCTTTCTCTCTCCTCTCTCTCCTCTCTCTCTCTCCTCTCTTTCTCTCTCCTCTCCCTCCCCTCTCTCTCCCCCTCTCTCCCCCTCTCTCTCTCTCCCTGCTCCCTCCCTCTCCCTCCCCTCTCTCCCCCCCCTCTCTCTCTCCCCTCTCTCTCCCCCTCTCTCTCCCCCCTCTCCCCCTCCTCTCTCCCTCCCCTCGCTTTCCCCCCTCTCTCCCCCTCTCTCTCTCCCTCTCTCTCCTCCTCCCTCCCCTCTCTCTCCCCTCTCTCCTCCACTCTCTCTCTCCACTCTCTACCCCCCATTTCTCTCTTCACTCTCTTCTCTCTCTCCTCTCTCGCTCCTCTCTTTCTCTCTCCTCTCTCTCCTCTCTCTCTCTCCTCTCTTTCTCTCTCCTCTCTATCCCCCCTCTCTCTCCTCTCTCTCTCCTCTCTCATTCCCTCTCCTCTCTCTACCCTCTCCACTCTACCTCTCCCCCCTCTCCTCTCCTCTCTCTCTCTCTCCTCCTTCCCCATTCGCCGCTCGCTGTAGCACATCCAAACCAATCAGCTCGCAGCACCCCTCCGCTGTCATCAGACCAGTGCATAGACAGGAGAGAGAAAGGCAGAGAAGAGAGAGAGAGAGAGAGAGAGAGAGAGAGAGAAAGGGAATGCCTCTCCTCATGCCTCACAGATGAGAATCACCTGCTTTGTGCTTCCCCAACCTGCTTATTATTTTTCTCACAATGGAAGCCAACATTGATCCAAAGCTTTAGCCATGAGAGCTGGACCATAGCAGCTATAGCAGCACCACGCCTTTTCCTAACCCTGCCTGAAGCCTCCTTAAGCATTTGTCCAAAAAAGAAAAGCCCCCACCCCAGAAATTTGTTCCCTTTTTTAACCACTGTGGATCCATCTTCTGATCACCCATGTACGATAATTCATACATACATGGATTCGAAGACTCGGAGGCGGTGAGTGAATAAGTGTTGGATTAATTCATTTCTCTGTTTTTTATTGCAAGCCATTGTTATAGTGAGTCGTGCCCACTTGTTCCAACACTGGCTGGATTTGTTATAGTATATACCGCCTTTATCGCTGCATTTTTAGGCTAGAATTATTGGACTATTTTGCTTTTTGTGATAAGAAATTGTCACCTTTATGTCTAACTGTTTAAAATCTATGGCGTTTATTAGTGTTTCAAAACCATGATAGGGTTTGATAGAGATGTCTTTGTATTCAGCGCTGGTTTTGTATCTGCCCGGCTTAAAACCTGGGTTAGTTCTATTTTAGTCTGCACTGTTTGAGATGAATAGATTAGATTTAGTGGGGAAATGTCAGTGTTGCATCACCGGTTACAGATCAGTGGGTAAGGCAAGGCAGGGCAAATTTATTTATGAAGCACCATTCATACAGAAGCAACCCAGGGCGCTAACACAGACACAGACAGAAGACTGGGAAACATTATACAGTAATATACATGAAAAACAATAACAAAAAAATGATGGAATATAAATAATATATAAAAGTATAAATACATACACATGCATGTAGGAATGAGGAGCACACAGCACAAGATAAGTCAAATAAAATCTCTACTTTTAGCATCATAATGAAGATAGTATAAAATCTAGCATTAGCCTGATAAAGAAGCTAGTATAAAATCTAGCATTAGCCTGATAAAGAAGCTAGTATAAAATCTAGCATTAGCCTGATAATGAAGCTAGTATAAAATCTAGCATTAGCCTGATAAAGAAGCTAGTATAAAATCTAGCATTAGCCTGATAATGAAGCTAGTATAAAATCTAGCATTAGCCTGATAATGAAGCTAGTATAAAATCTAAGCATTAGCTTGATAAAGAAGCTAGTATAAAATCTAGCATTAGCCTGATAATGAAGATAGTATAAAATCTAGCATTAGCCTGATAAAGAAGCTAGTATAAAATCTAGCATTAGCCTGATAATGAAGCTAGTATAAAATCTAGCATTAGCCTGATAAAGAAGCTAGTATAAAATCTAGCATTAGCCTGATAATGAAGCTAGTATAAAATCTAGCATTAGCCTGATAAAGAAGCTAGTATAAAAATCTAGCATTAGCCTGATAATGAAGCTAGTATAAAATCTAGCATTAGCCTGATAAAGAAGCTAGTATAAAATCTAGCATTAGCCTGATAAGAAGCTAGTATAAAATCTAGCATTAGCTGATAAAGAAGCTAGTATAAATGCTAATAATCTAGCATTAGCCTGATAATGAAGCTAGTATAAAATCTAGCATTAGCCTGATAAAGAAGCTAGTATAAAATCTAGCATTAGCTTGATAAAGAAGCTAGTATAAAATCTAGCATTAGCCTGATAAAGAAGCTAGTATAAAATCTAGCATTAGCCTGATAATGAAGCTAGTATAAAATCTAGCATTAGCTTGATAAAGAAGCTAGTATAAAATCTAGCATTAGCCTGATAAAGAAGCTAGTATAAAATCTAGCATTAGCCTGATAATGAAGCTAGTATAAAATCTAGCATTAGCCTGATAAAGAAGCTAGTATAAAATCTAGCATTAGCCTGATAAAGAAGCTAGTATAAAATCTAGCATTAGCCTGATAATGAAGCTAGTATAAAATCTAGCATTAGCCTGATAATGAAGCTAGTATAAAATCTAGCATTAGCCTGATAATGAAGCTAGTATAAAATCTAGCATTAGCCTGATAATGAAGCTAGTATAAAATCTAGCATTAGCCTGATAAAGAAGCTAGTATAAAATCTAGCATTAGCCTGATAAAGAAGCTAGTATAAAATCTAGCATTAGCCTGATAAAGAAGCTAGTATAAAATCTAGCATTAGCCTGATAATGAAGCTAGTATAAAATCTAGCATTAGCTTGATAAAGAAGCTAGTATAAAATCTAGCATTAGCCTGATAAAGAAGCTAGTATAAAATCTAGCATTAGCCTGATAAAGAAGCTAGTATAAAATCTAGCATTAGCCTGATAATGAAGCTAGTATAAAATCTAGCATTAGCCTGATAAAGAAGATAGTATAAAATCTAGCATTAGCCTGATAATGAAGCTAGTATAAAATCTAGCATTAGCTTGATAAAGAAGCTAGTATAAAATCTAGCATTAGCTTGATAAAGAAGCTAGTATAAAATCTAGCATTAGCTTGATAAAGAAGCTAGTATAAAATCTAGCATTAGCCTGATAAAGAAGATAGTATAAAATCTAGCATTAGCCTGATAATGAAGCTAGTATAAAATCTAGCATTAGCTTGATAAAGAAGCTAGTATAAAATCTAGCATTAGCCTGATAAAGAAGCTAGTATAAAATCTAGCATTAGCCTGATAATGAAGCTAGTATAAAATCTAGCATTAGCCTGATAAAGAAGCTAGTATAAAATCTAGCATTAGCCTGATAATGAAGCTAGTATAAAATCTAGCATTAGCCTGATAATGAAGATAGTATAAAATCTAGCATTAGCCTGATAATGAAGCTAGTATAAAATCTAGCATTAGCCTGATAATGAAGCTAGTATAAAATCTAGCATTAGCCTGATAAAGAAGCTAGTATAAAATCTAGCATTAGCCTGATAATGAAGCTAGTATAAAATCTAGCATTAGCCTGATAATGAAGCTAGTATAAAATCTCTAATGTATAATGTGTATTTACGTATTAGAACTTAACTAAGATTCTTTATTGACTTTAACATTATTATCCATTACACTGGCCAAACCTGCGAAAGCCAGATCCTGTCAGACCTCTGAAGCTAAGCAGGGAAGGGCCTGGTTAGTACTGTGATGGGAGACCTCTGGGAACACCAGGTGCCAAAGTGGTGTGGCTGTAATGTACCAAACTCTCTTTCTGGTCTCTCTCTGGTCTCTTTCTGGTCTCTCTCTGGTCTCTTTCTGGTCTCTCTCTGGTCTCTCTCTGGTCTCTTTCTGGGGTCTCGCTGGTCTCTCTCTGGTATCTCTCTGGTCTCACTCTGGTCTCACTCTGGTCTCTCTCTAGTCTCTCTCTGGTCTCCCTCTGGTCTCGCTCTAGTCTTTCACTCAGCTTATCAGTGTCTTCCCCTTCCTCTCGTCTGCAGGATCTCACCCACGTTCACACATTGTATTTTTGGCCCCATTTAACATTATCTTATCTCTTTACTTCACTAAAGGCTTTTAACATGGATCTGAACACACAGAGACTTTAGCCCCATTTCCACCCAGCCCTACTCTACTCTACCCTACCC